TACTGGTTAAATCACTCATTTTACTGATATTTAGGGAGATGTTTTTATAGCATTTTTGCTGTCTATAAAATTGATAAAAAATAAAGAATATTGTAAATATATTGTGTTATGAAAAAGTATTAAAACAACATTTGATTTAATAACATCAACCTTACTTGGATATGAACCACTAACTTCATGCTAAATGTTTGTGTAACCGTTGATTTTGCTTGCGTATGTAGAAATTTACAATCTATTCAGAATAACAAATAAAATATAAAAGTTCCTTTATTAATTCCCAAATTAAATAACGTTTTATTAATAGAAAATTTTCGTTACAAAGAATAAACCTTACCCCCTATCATAGCTGATACCATTGGACCTTGATGAGCTGTTTGTATATTGCAAAGGAGTTGCTGCAGTTCATAAAATATAGCAAAATGTAAATTAAAAAAAACTTTAAATGAAATTAAAGTAACAAAGTGACACATCTATCTATATTATACAAAGAAACTGCTAAACATTTGAAATCCAATAACATACCATTTGTAATATCACTAAAAACCTGTCTTTTGGAAGTTGACCCATTTTGCACAGGGAGTACTCCATAATAACTGTTTAGGTTAAAAACACTTAATAACAGAGATGGAAACATTAATCATTCTCAATAAAATCAAAGAAAGATTGACCAAATTCGAATATATATTCAATAATAATAAATAAAAAAAACTTGCGAACGGAAGAAGCAAATTCTGGAGTTTGATTTTCTACAGCGGATTCAAACGATGGATTAAATTGTTCAGGAGAATTATAACAGGAAGATTTCGAAAGTCTAGTGCTTCTTCTCTTCCGTGTCGACATTTGCAATTTGGAAGAAAGTTTTGTATTAACGATGGAGCACAAATAAAGAGGATGCTTAAGAATCAATAAGATGTTTCTCCTATAGCATATTTGCTCTCCTATCAGACTCAACGTGAAATGCAACTACTGTACCACCTATTCTCTTGCTTCAGCATCATGATAATCGAGGTTGCTTTTTCCTATGCTCAATAACTCATCGTTGTACTCTATAAATGTCTACCAAACAATTCTAATGATGATACACCAAAAAGAAAAAGTATGCTTCAAGCCAATTGATGTTTTCAATGTAAATGCTTTGTATTCTTATAAGGAATATGAAAAGATTGTCATATACTTAAAACAAACCTAGATAGAATTTTGTTTTTTTTTAATTTATTTTAAAACAGTACATAAAAGATTTACTAATTAAACACTAAATATAATAAAATGATATCTGAAAAACTAAGAAATTATTAATTATATTATATTTGTTAATGCATTTTATATATTCTGAATACTATTTTGTGAAAAGAAGTAATGATTTATTGAAAAAAAAACCAAATTCATTTAATTAAAGCACACTAATGTTTTTTTTTTTTTGGGTAACCAACTTTTTGAAAAAATAACAATATCCCACTCACATCATTTAATTTTGTCCAATAGTTAGTTATTTGAAATTGCAAATTTGAATGTATTTATAATTCCTCGTAACCAATTTTTTATATCTTTATTTTTATAGGAGAAGGATATTCTTACTAACAAAAAAATATACTACCATCTTACTACCTTCATAATTACCATTGGATCCAAGAGAGAGAATGTTGAAAAGATTTTGAAGAGAGAGAAAATATGAATCCAATGATGATTGTGGAGGTAATAGGTTGGTAGTGAATTTTTTTGGTAGTAAGAATATCCCTCCCCATTTTTATGTAGTTGACGCTTGTTTATTAACAAAAGGGATTTGTTAATCTTCTTACATATATTACCCAACAAAAATTTTAAGATCTTTATTTTTAGTACTGATGAATAGATTATTATTTAAAGAAAATTATATTAAGATGTTAGTTGTTTAACGTAATTCAATATTTTAATTATTTGATTATCAATATAACTGTATTTATATTAATACTTATAAAGATCATACTTCATATATGGAATCATTTTGTTTTAGACCATTTCGTATATGATAATGCCATTAATATTTTAACAAAAAAAAATAATTAAAATTTTATGTATACAAATCTGAATATTACTTAGGAGCATTATTATTGTTTATAAACTGACCAATATATTATGATGACATTGGTTAGAGGTTATTTGAATGTATTCATAGCATATGTAGTTATTCGTTTACCATAAAAAAAGAGAGAGTAAAAGCTCAATTTATTTATTTCACATGATCTATCAAAATATTTTGATTATTCAATTACTAAGTATAACAACCTTATATAAAAATAGTTTTTTTTCAATTAAATCTCTGTGATGGCCCCCTTTATTTGTTATATTTTTTTTTTAATACTCGATAACACTAATCAAATTATGGAGAAAATTCCAGACATTCAAATCACAATACTAACTGAAGAAAAATAGAGAATAGAAATTAACAACATAAAAACTAAACTTAAATATCCACAAATTACAGACCATAAATACACCAAAAGGAAACGAAAAAATGCAGGGCAATTTCCAAAATTCAAACACTGCAGGCTGCATTGCAAAACATGGTCTATAATCATCTCCTTCAATTGACTTAAACCATGATCATTAAACGAAATAGGTAAATTTCGAAGTCCGCCTTGCAAAACTCACACATCTTCATCATTGTGCTAACTCACACATCTTCATCATCTTCCCATATGTTCGATTGGCATTTGTCTGGCTTGCAGATTGGTGGCCCTTCAGAAACGAACTTTCTTCTCATCCACAGGCCTCTAACGAAAAGTCTAACATTAAACCTGCACAGAGAAACAGAGCATGATTGATTCAACAAACAAAAAAGTTCAAATCCCTCCGACCTTTGAGTTTCATCAACCCCTGACATCAGTATCATTGAGTACAGGTAGCTAGCATCTTTGTGACCTTTCAATGATGCTTGCTTAATATGATCAAAGGCTGTATATATGGTTTATGGGGTTGAAGATTCACGAAAGTAATTAACAACACCCTCACGAAAGAACACATTAGGATTCCCACTCTCTCGACATCGTTGGATGAAATAGTTTACTCGATTCCTCTTTAATATTTTTGCTTGGTCGAAGTCATCCTCACTGCTTGCCTCAAGTTGATGAAAGAATGGTTTGGCTTCTATTACCCACTCCAACGGACCATCATGCAACTTTTCAAAGGAGACACTTTCGTATACATCATCAGATTCTGCAAGTTCGAGGAAGTCCTTGCATGTTAGCTTCATGCTAGTAATGTCTTCCAAAGAACGGGATGCAATCTTCCGAAATATTACTAATATCAATTCGGATGGGAGGCTTGACAGCGACACAGCATTGATCATCTCCATTTTTAAGATCTTGTTTGAGGATGAAGCAGCCATGCAACTTGGCGGTGGCGGTACATTGTACTTATGGCTTATCATTATCCATGTGCAGATAACTTGGAAAATGAAACGCCGCCCTTTTTCATTTTTCAGATATCGGTTTAGAATTATGAAGCGTTGATGGAGTAGGTAATCAGTCAAATGAGGATATCAGACAAGAAAAAAATCAATAAATATACAATCTGAATGAGACAGATGGACGATGGAACGTCATCTTCTTCCTTCCAGGTTCTTCTTCCACGTTTTTTTTGTTTTTATTTTTATTTTTTCAAACAACATATATAGCCATAATTAATTAAACACTACTTACAACTGTTACAATGTTATCTGATACATTATGAATCTTTATTTTTTGAAAAAAAATATTTGGTAATGCATAAAATTTTGTATTTTGTTTATTTTTTGAATCAAAATTAATCAAATTTATATAAATTCAGACACTGAAGTGGTATAAAAAGTAAATCTTATATTTTTTGTTTATTTTAAATAGCCAAAAAATCAGTATTATTAATAGCATTTAGAGAAAAAAAAGAAGCAATTGTTTAATGAAATAAGCATATTCATCATTTGTTGGGAAACCAACTTTTTGAAAAAAATACCACATTTAACGCTCTTTAAAAAAAATTGTATTTAATTTTGTTGGTAACAGAACTTTAATGAGTGGTATAAAAATAAATCTTTTATTTTTTGTTTAATTTAAGTAGCTAAAAATTCAGTATTATTAATACCATTTTGAAAAAAAAAGTAATTACTTAATGAAATAAGCATATTCATCATTAGTTGGAAAACCAACTTTTTGAAAAAATACCATATCTAACGCTCTTTATTTAAAGTTGTATTTAATTTTGTTGGTAACAGAACTTTAATGAGTGGTATAAAAATAAATCTTTTATTTTTTGTTTAATTTAAGTAGCTAAAAATTCAGTATTATTAATACAATTTTGAAAAAAAAAAGTAATTACTTAATGAAATAAGCATATTCATCATTTGTTGGGAAACCAATATTTTGTAAAAAATACCATATCCAACGCTTATTGTCTAATTTATTCCAATAAATCGATATTTGAATTTAAAAAAAATGTATTTATTTTTGTTGGTAACAGAAGTTTAATGGTATAATTAATATTTTTAATTAGGTTATATAATTTTGTTATTTAATTTATTTATTATACCGAACCTTAAATATATACACACATGAGGTGTATAAAATCATTAGTTGAATTTAAATTCAAAAATGTATTTATACAATATTACAATGAGGAAAGCTTTTCTACAATAAAAGGTCATATAACGATAAGTCACAAATGCAGCGTTCATGAAGTTTCATTTGTTGTGAAAACTCATGAGTAATTATGGTGAATTTCCAAACACATGTAATAATATATATTAATATGCATACGGAAATTGTTATCAGAGAAATATTAGCCAAAAAAAATTGGATTAAACAATTCAAAATATTTCAGAAATATAAGATGTTCAACAAAATATGAAATACATACTTCAAAATTAAATCGTCCAAGATGAAAAAAACCAAACAGCCAAATAAATTAAAAGACAAAACATAACAATGATAATAACACCAGCAAAGTCTATGTGCAAAAATGAAATTTGCCCCTTTCGAAAAACGACTTCATTAATCTGCCACGTTGTCTTCATTCGCTGCATCAAAACTTACACAATAACAAAAAAAAATGGTAATATATCAGTAAAGTGCATTACAAAAATTATTATACAGTGTTTGGCATGAGTACTAACAATTTCTCCAATTTAATTTTTTTAATTGTATGGACAACAGAGCGTTCACCAATTTCGTCTATAAATTCATTAGAATTGACAGACGGTGTCATCATAGACAGAGAATCATTAACAGGATCTGCACTTTCACATGTCTGACTCGCAACATCCTGACGGAAACAAAAATATTATGGGATGATGAAAATCAAGATTGATAAGAATGCATAAAAATATTTAAAGTTAATTTATTTTAACTTACCGCAGCTCTTCCATTTTCAGCAGCAACAATGTCATTGTCGAAAGCTTGATCAAACAAAGTTTCATCCTGTAATTGTTTGGTAGAAGAAAAGGAAGATATAAAAGAAAAATGTATGCAAGGCAACTATATGAAAGAAGCGACAAACACAAAACAAAAAAAAGTACATTTAATTCTGTTGCAGACTTGATGAAGGAAGACATAATAGTTTCGTCGGTGCAAACTTTAGAAACTTGATATTTAGGCTCACTGTATGAGTCAAAATTGTTTTTTCTAACATTAATCTTGAACAGCATGGACTTGTCAACAAGAACATCAAATTCTTTTGGATAATGTTCCAAATCAGCACCCTAGAAAAAACGAAAAAAAAAGATTCCAACCAATAAAAATATCAGAATTTAGAACTAATTAATATGACAACAGTTGATGAACACAGCGTTGGGCAAAAATAGAATACCAACGCTCTTGTATTGCAATTCACGCAAATCAGAAGCACTCATACCCAACAAAGTAACACAATCTCTATCAAAGAGAATGAACGATGCAGAATCGGTGTTATCAACAACTCTGACTTGAACACTGAATCTATAATATAATAATTATTATTATCAGCGTCAATTACGTAGTATAAGAAAACATTAAAAATCAAAATAATCTCACCTTGGTTGATAATCACTCCAATGTTTTTGGCAATTTTTACAAAACCATTTCTCATAATCTTCAAAAACATAATACGGGCATTTCTTATAGGATTTGTACCACCAGTTGTATTTACTCTCAATTGCTTTGATAGTTCCGTAAGCAATACACGTCATAACCTGAAAAAAAAAATATAACATTAACGACAATTAAAAATAAATAAAAATAATTTAAAAAAGATAGCATAACTTTATCCCAATCACAAATATTCACCTCGGTAGAAATTTTAATATCAGTAATACACTTTCTTTCTGTATTTTTAAGAAAATCATTCTCAAAGGAATATGTCGATTGAGTAGACAACTGGGACAATCCACGAATACAATCCGCTGAAACATTTCCAAGCCTAAAAGAAAACAAACGTAACATATAAATTACGAATCTAAACATACAAAAATTTCATAACAGAACTTATACTGAATAATAGAGTTGCAACGGTCATAAAAAATATTTCTTACTTTTTCTCGAATTCATTAATTTTTGTTACATTCGAATCCATAATGAGATGCGTTGTATATCTTGTATTAGTTATTGACTTTTGACCTACACAATTAAAAGAGAAAAAAAAACGGAAAGAGCTACCGTTAAAAAAAAGTAATAGAAGGAGACAGACAAAATAGATATTTATTGAAATTTTTTAATAAAGAATAAAATTAAATATGAAGACAAATACCTCTGAAATCCTTCATCTTTGCAAGATGAACTATTATAACATTCTGAGAAGCCTGATTATTTGCCAAAAAACTCTGCACTTCATCAACATAATGCTCCCTGTAAGAACCCGCACCGTTAATTAAGGAATTTAATTAATAAATTATGCAAAATTAGGAAATGATTCCATAATTGACCCTAATAATTATTATGAGGCTTTAATAATTATAGTAAGTGAGTAATTATGCTGAAAGTCGCATTTCGGAAGAAAAGTGCAGATACCGGTTCTGCTAGTCGGTATAAATGCGTACCAAAAAAGTATCCCGGAAAATTATAATAAGTTTATGATAATTACTAGAATGATATGTAGGACTTGTAAAACGAGTTTCAAGTCCAGATAATGAGAACTGGTGCTAGAAACCGGTACTGGCTTGGAAAAGTGCGTACCGAAAAGGTGCTCAGAAAATTATAAGAAAAATATGATAAATCTTAGAAAATTATGTAGTTTCATAATCCAAAGTTTGGGATTAAAACGCTAAGCGTAGCAATTAAAGATAATACTGTGTGTTTAAGTGCGTTTGGGCTATAAATACCCTTGTTAAGGGCACATAGCCCTAGAAAACAGAAAACCAACGTGAGAGGGAGCTGACCAGCTGCTTGGTGACTTCTCTATTGGCCTTTCCTTCCATTCTTGAACCAAGTCTTGATCTTTCTTGATTTTTCTTCATCCTTTCACTTGGGAAACATCTTGAGAGGGTGTGAGGGTGCTGTGCTTGAGGTTTAGCCACTGTTTGTGGGCTATTTGTGTTCTGAGTTGGGGTTTGGGTGGAGTGCCTCCTTGCTCATTGGGTTTTGAGGCTTAAAGGAGCTTTCTTGTTGAGTAAAAGGACCACCTTGGTAGACCATTTTCGTGTGCAGAGAGAGACAGAACCTTAGAGTGACCTTTTGAGCTCCAAGAGCACCTCTTGTTGGCTGATTGAGTTTTGGTAAGCCTTGTCACCTTTGGTCTTGAGTCTTTGAACTTAAAAATGAAATCTTGATGCATGTTAAGGCTTAAAGATGATAACTTGTTGTTGGGTAATGTTGAACACACCTAGAAATGCATGTTTAGGTGCTTTAAATCGTTAAAAACCCAACCTTGGAATGATATCTTCACGAAATGCATTTTCTGCATTCTGTCGTGAAATATCCGGATATGTGCCCGATGAATATCCGGATATGTGATTTCCGGATATGGGTTTTGAGTATCCGGATATGGGATTGGGATTCTGGATATCCGGATATTGCATATCCGGATATGTCCAGTGAGATATCCGGATATTGCATTTCCGGATATGGTCCCGAGGAATATCCGGATATTCTGGGATATCGTAGAACAGTAGCTGTGTTGTGTGTACAGTAGGCTATTGGGGGTTTGTGGACCCTAGATTGATGAAGCTGAACTTCTGTTTTAATTAAACTAAGTCAGAATCAAGTGATTAAGGGCTTATGGCTTGGTGAGAAGCCTTAAGACATAAAGCGTAATGAAAAGACGTTGTCTTTAATTTGTATGCATGTGGTACATGTTATTGATTTAGTATTGGTCCATAACAGATTGTGAATCTGCTGTGTTTGGACTTTGAGCTGTGGACTCTTGGCTTTTGGAGTTAGCTTGCAAGGTAAGCTTTTGTGTCCTCGGTTTAGCCATGTTGTGGTTCCACCATGTCCCATGGGGGTATGGTTTATGCATGTTGTGTACATGCTTTTGGATATTTGATATGTTGATTGAACTTTACATGTAATGCCTTTTAATATGCATGTGTTGTTTCAACTTGACGGGAAGCCTGAGTATGTAGCGCCATACAAGACGGTGTACCGGGGTGAATGCAAGTGGTACTTGCACGGTGTGTAGGTGATAGACGTATACCTGCACTGTCTCTGGCCAGTAGATTAGTATTGACACACATGGCATGATTATCTACTGCATAGCATGGTTTTAGAAATGATAAATGATAAACTGCTTTTGAACTTATATTACACATGTAAGTGAGCTTGGGGTGGAAGATCCTTGAGGACTCACTGACTTACTGAGATTTCTAGATTAGAGATCTTACCCCACGTTTGGGGAATGCTTATTTCAGGATCAGGTAGTATGGGTACTGATGCCTCAGGCGGCAGGAGGCCGGAGCTTAGCTGATTATGTTGTTTCTGCTTATTTGTTAGCATGACTGGATATTGATGCTGATTATGTTTTATGCCTTTTATCTTTATGTTGTTGTTGAGATTGATGTTGGGCATGTTGCCTTATTTGAGTGAGCATGGGGATTGTCCATGACACTTTCTGTTAGTACTTTTGATTGGAGTTGTATAAACTGTTAGATGGTCCGGTCTACATTGTTGTAGTTCCGTGACTAGAGCCACACTTATATTATCTATGTTATGAGGTATTTCAGTTAGCTGTTTTATTGCAATTACATACAGACGATGTTTTATTAATTGATTATTAAGCAAGTTGGTAATGTTAATGGCATCATAATTGAAAAGAAAAAGTAATTCCGCATTTTAATTAAGCGCAGCTTAATACGATATTATGATAACATTACCGGATATATACAGGGTGTTACACTCCCACAATGTGCATTCAAGTTTGTGACCTCTTTTTTTTCGCAGAGGTTTTTAAAAAAATATACACAACTCATTACGGACATCAATTTACCACACATAAAATAAATTACACATTACACATACGTTATTCAAAATCGTTACAACAAAAAATACCTGCGGTTGTCAAGCTCCAGCATAATTTTTTTTGCTTTCCTACCAAACACATCATGCTCTTCAACTTCGCTAGTTCCAGTCAGTAAACCGATGACATCTACAGAAAAAATAATTCAGATTAATGAAAATAATTTTTTCCAAGTAAATAAATTATTTAAAAAAATAACAAAAGAATACATTACCCAATAAATAAGGAGAGACCGTTTTTTGCTGTATAATAAAATCAAACTCGACAAAATTGAAACAATTGACAGGTATGGTAGCATCAACAATGGCCTTAACATCTGTCCTCAAGTTGAAAGAAATTTTGTAAACATGCCTAGTTGCCTTGAAACCTTCACCATTCAATCCAACTCCAAAATTTCTAATAAAGTACGCTTCCCCTTCTATAATTTTTTTTCTAACTTGCAAAGTCCCTCTGACAGTAGCATGGATCGTAGAACCCTACATAATTCAAACATAAATTAGCAAGAAGAGTCGAAGAATTAGAAAAAAAAAAGAGAGCAAAATATAAAAATAAGTTTGCAACATAAAAAAAAAAATACATGTTCATCTGCCAGAATCATCTCCAGATTGTCATCAAATCCCTTTTTCTCATAATTAGGGACCTTCCAAGTCCTAATGGCCCTAACCTTAATCCTCCAATCATCCTTAGAGGAATTTAGATCTTTTATAAAATCGTATTTTGAAAACATGACTAAAGCAGGAAGTAGAAGAAGGGAATAACAACGAATGATAATAAGAAGGAAAAAAATGCAAGATACTAAAGAAGATGAATGAGTCGACCAGAGAAAAATGGAGGGTTCATGTAAAAAATGATAACAATGGGGAGAGAAGGCATTAGAAGTCTGAGAGAGACATTAGGACATTCAAAACATTGAATAATTACTTTCAGTTTCCAATGGGGTACAATAGTAGTAATTATTACTTTCATCAATTACCAATGAAAGAAATAGGTGCGATTTAAATTGGATGTCTGCCACTAATATATTTTCGGACTTAGAAATATTTTTATTCTGTATTTATTTGTTTAATGTTCGAAATTCAAATTTCAAATGTCTACCAAAACAGGAAACTTTTTAAATTGTTGTAGGTGTGAACACAAACCTCAGATTCAAGGAGAATGCGACATATCATCAAAGTTTCCAATAAACGGTTTTACTTTAGAATAATCTAGATTTTTTTTAAGGATATTTAAAAATTATACTAATTCAATCAAAATCAAAAAAGAAAAAAAAATTAAGTGCAAAAATGAAAAATTAATTGAATTGTATTATATTTTTATTATAAAATTATTTTAAAAGTTTAAGCACGAGCGCGCACATATATATTAGTCATTTGTAATTTTATATTGTAGTATTTTATTTATAATTTTATTATTTTATTAAAAAATAAAGGTCAAGTCTAAATGCTTAAAGGTTTTGATTCTGATTTTTAAAAATATATTTTAATAGGCTCAAATCTGTATAATTTTTAAAATAAATCAGATCAAGTCAGGGCAAAAGTAGGTAAGGCTCTAGGTCCTTTTCTGATGTATTTACACACTTATTTATCACAATGTAAATCCAATAAGAAGCTTAAATTTCCATCTTTTCAACCCATAGACATTGCAATGAATATTTCCTCACCTCTATCTTCACTATGGTCGTAAATCCAGGCAAAACAATTAAAATAATATTTTTTAATTAAATAAATATGTATTTATTGCAGTTTTGAGAAAAATTACGGATCTATTGCACACTGTGACGTCCCATTGAGGCGTCTCTCATGAGGTGTTGACACGTGTCAATTTTTTTTCCAAAAAAAAAATTAATTTAATTATAAAACTTCTAAAGGCCATAATAACTTTTGACTCGAGTATCCAAATCATGTAATTCTTTTTTTGATTCCACATAAATTTTTGAGATCTACGCAATGGCATCTCATTTGATATATTTTATTTTTCACCAACATAATTTAAATTTAGATCAGGCAATCTTTCTTCCTTAGATATTTAAAATATTTATTTAATTATTTCCTTTATTAACACATATTTTTCAAATTGATTTTTGAGTTTAAATCAAAAATCAAATCTTTATTTTGTTTTCCTTATTAATAATAATTGTTACTTTTAATTTAAATCATAAGCCAAATTTTTTTATAATAAAAATAAAAAAATTATTTTTTAATTTAAATCACACATCAAATCTTGATTTATTTTTTGTATCAAATCGCAAACGCAGAACTTAGAGGCTTCTAGATTAATAATGTGACACGTGTCAACACGTGTCAAATCCTAACACATCACCAATCACTTCTAAATTGAGTTTCAATCAAGAGCCAATCACGCCTAATTTAAGTAATTTTACTTTTGAAAAACATTCATGCAATCACAAATCAAATCTTAATTTAATCACAAATGTAGAATATCATTTATTTAATTATTTCCTTTATTTCCTTCTTCCTTAGAAATGTAGAATATTTATTTAATTATTTCCTTTATTTCTACAGATTTTTCAAATTGCTTTTTTAGTTTAAATCACAAAACAAATCTTTATTTTGTTTTCCTTATTAATAATAATTGTTACTTTTAATTTAAATCACAAAACAAATTTTTGTATAATAAAAATAATTTTTTTTTTTAATTTAAATTACACATCAAATCTTGATTTATTTTTTGTATTAAATCACAAACGCAGAACTCAAAGACTTATGAGTTTAAAAATGTGAAACGTGTCAACACGTGTCAAAACCTAACACATCACCAATGACGTCTAATTTGGGTTTCAATCAAGAGGCAATCACGCCTAATTTAGGTAATTTTATTTTTGAAAAACATTCATAAGCCATCACAAATCAAATCGTTATTTAATCACAAATGTAGAATATCCTTTATTTAATTATTTCCTTCTTCCCCTTTATTTCTACAGATTTTAAAAAAGTGACACGTGTCAGATTCAGAAAGGATTTAACCCATTCCAATATCATAACTTTGAGGAAAACTCAATTTATAGCTTGGATCAGTACAATGTTGAACTTGGTTTAGTTCATTCTTCGGATGCACGTAGGCAAACCTTCTCAAATTGTAGTGACCAATCTACCCCTAGTATAGTAGGATTCAACTCTATTGCTGTTCTAAAGTCAGAAACAGATCCAGTTGGCTTTTGCACACGCCTACCAATAGGTAGCCCATTCAAACCATATTGGATTGGACCACTAAATTTATTTGCTGCTCATGAATTTTAGGGGCCGAATCCTCAAACCCAATGTCGTTGTTCTTCCCTTGAGCCAGACCAACAGTGTTTTGCTAGGGGGAATCTCAAACCCAATGCCGGTTCTTCCCTTGAGGACCAAGAGGGCTAGGACGGTCTGCGGCTACGCAAGTTTGGAGTCCTACCTCTCCGAGGAGATTGAAGAAAATCCTTGCACATAAGCTGAAGATTGTTACACCCATTGGGCGTTTTGACATTCAAAGAACCTTCCACTGTGCTATTTCTTGGCAGGGCTGTCTTGGAGAGAGACGCTTTTTTCAAGATTGACCTGATAAAATGATTATGAAGCGGAACATTGTCTCTACCAATAGTTGCTATGCAGAGCCTATCAAATTCAGATTTACTAATTTTGAGACTGAGAAATTTCGTGAGAAGACTAAAGTATTTGCATGATTTCACGCTACCAAGCCTCTTTTCAATCTGTAACTTTTGCTCTAACGTGT